TTATAGAAAAAAGCTTTCACTGCACTCTTTTTCTTTTTTATCCATCTTACATTTGGCATTTTATGTGGACCTGTTGTGTATTTAATATAATCTTCTAAATCATATAATCTTTAAAAAAAAAAAACATGAAACAACTGTAACAAGTCACAAGATTTTTTAACTGAAAAAAAACATAAACGTGACAAACAGCAGCTGGAATAGGACATAGCTCCCCCTTTATTTCCGTAGTCCAACGCAACCTCTTCCAAATATGGTATGGGTCTGTTATGTGGTCAGTCTCTGAGCCTTTCAGCATGCTGCAGCGAGGTGAACTAGATCACATCTTTCAAAGCTTCAGCCATCCCACTCATTGCCCTCTTTGGTGCTCTACCTCAGGGTTTTTCACTTCCTGTGTACTCAAGTGAGCTCTTTCATTTATCAGATTAGAGAAAATTGTGTCCTTTTTGCTAAACTCTGATGATAATTTATCTAATCTGGCTGCTCTTTCTAAAACCTGTCTCTACTTTAGACCTTGATTTGGCTTCAGAGCACACACATTGCTCTCCAGCATTACAAAATGTTTTGTTATGGTATAGTGACTCTGTGTAATTATTTGTGATCTGTTAAGATTTCTGTTTTTTAGTCAGTTTTCTTGCTCGTTATTTGTTTGTTTGTGTTGTTGTTTGTTAAATTTGTTTATTTTGGAGTTTTCTTTTTAAATGCTTCTTTAGTTTATCACATCCTTTGATGGTTTTGAGTGATTTGATTTTGTTAACGTTGAAAACTTGAAATAATAACGTTGAAAACAGGAAATAGAAAGCCAAAATTGAAAAAAGTAACATCTAAACAAAACAAATTTTCTTAAACCACTGATTTTACTGCAACATTGGTCACAGACCCACACACATTTACTGTATCTGTCATGAAGCTATCTTACTTGTTATAGAGGACGATATCTGGAAGCCAGATGTGCTGTGACGGCAGTCGTATTTTCTTTATTCCCTCATACTCGTTGGGATCCCACATTAATCGGTAGTCGTTCCAACCCTGATGCAAGATAAAAGTTATGAGATAACATGTAAAAACAAGCAAGGGCTTGTTTAAAAGATATCCATTATTTACCTTCGCTAGGAACTTTGAAATGATTCAATTCATACAAAGCAACATAAATGAATTTTGAGGTCATATGTAAACAAGGCTGGTTCATCCATGAAAGGAAGTATTGGTTGAGTCAGCTGTCACGGTGTATTTATAATAGTACACCAGAATTTTTGACTAACATGCTGTGAGCTGACCTCACCAGTGAACCGGCTTTATGTCTGTGCACAATTTTCCACAAACCACTGCACTGTGACAAACCTCAATGCATTTATGTGCATATGACGACTAACATGAACCACAGATATGATGCATTCTCACACACACACTTTTAAAGTGACAAACAGTAGAGTTCAACTGAACAAACCTGGGTTAACCAGCAGTTAGTGGTCATGATCTGCTCCCTCTCATTCTGAAACACCGACAAACATGGAAACACAATTCAGACAAAGAAAACAAAAGAATCCTTTAAAATAGACATTCATAAGATCTGATGGTGTTATAGCAGTTTGTCCTTTCAGTGGTGGGATCCTGTGTTTAATTACCACGTTGATCAGCTGGGCCAGAGACACCTGTATGTAAATTGTGACCTGCTGGCTGTTGTTGACAGCTGGCCTGATCAGCTTGTTATACCGCTCCGGTGACAACAGCTGACTCACCAGCCTCTCCTCTACGTCTGCACACAGGGCAGCTGGGTACATAAACAGATAAACATACAGACAAAAAATAAGAAACTGCTGGAAACAAACTATACATTATGGACTGAAGGTCATTGTCATTGTCATACCAGTCTTGCATAAGCTAAAGGCGTTTTCTAAAGCTCCCATTGTGATTTGTGTTTCTTTGCCTGTTATACTTTATGCCTTTCTATGGAAGATCTTTCCTGCCAAAAACAGAGAGCACATATTTTTAATTTGAGATTTCCTCTACTTGCAATAAAAAACTTTTAATGCTCAAATTCAAGACTTCTGCTTTCTCTCAAATACATTATCTTCTCCATCAAATCTTTGTTCCTGCTCATGGATCTAATGCTTCTCACAGATAATTCCTCCTCTTGTTTACTTCCTTCTCTTTGGGTGCAAACCACTCTCTTCTCCAGTCAGAGATATGTTCGGAAACCCGTCGGCTCTGCTTTTGGATTTTTTTCGCTCTCTCTCTCTCTCACGCTGGAGTTTGATCGTCACCTAGCAACTGTCCAGCAAATAGAAAGACAGCCTCAGCCTAAGAGTCCAGTTCTTTTCTTCTACTGAGTTTGCAGTTACTGCTTACTGGTACTAATAATAAAATCGTTTTCAAATGTTTTCTTCTTATATGCCAGATCAAATACATGAACTCATAGGAAATAAAATAAATGGGTTAATTAAAAATTTTAGCCTCAATAAAAGTAGGCTACTTACTTGAGACTTGCTTCCTTTTTCATAATATGTTAGTCAGGGCATGTGCAAATGCTGCCTTCATCAGAAATTAGGTAACTTTTCATTGTTGGTTGTGGAATCGCCCCTTAGAAATTTCTAGGCTTTTATTAATTTTTTTTCAAATTATTTTTGTTTTCAGCTTCATATCTTATCAGAATTTATATTGCAAAGCAATTTCATTATCAGCAAGGAGTAACAGGAAAACTCAGTAGAAGAAAACAAGTGCACCCTTTCTGAGGCTTTCGTTCTATTGGCTGGAATGGTTGCAAGGCGACGATCCGATTCCAGAGAGAGCGAAAAAATCCACAAGCTCAGCCGATGGGTTTCCGAGCATATCAGTGACTCAAACCGAGACTGGTTTGCATGCGAGGAGAAGGACGTAAAGGAGAGGAGAAAATAGATGCAAGTACAAGTTTTGAGTGCAAGTAAAGGAAATCCTGCTCTTAAATTTAAAAAGTGTGCTCTTGGTTTTACTTCAGATATTATAGGCATATAAAGTCACAATTACTACTGCTCAGCCTTTGCAAACTCCATCAGTGGTAAAGAGCCCTTAGTGGCAGTATGAGGATGTGGATTAGCATCTCCCTCCATACAAAATAACACCTATTATCAGAAAGCAATTTTAATCCAGAAAAATATAAAGATTATACTTTGCAACCAGTAGCAATCTCATATTTCGTCTCTAATGGACCAAACCTTGTTCAATGAAATGCTAACGCTTGACTGCCCCATTTCCATTGCAATTAAAAGGCCTGGAGCATTTGAAAGCCTTTCCATACACATTAACCGAGGTAAATTCAGATTCCCATGTCTTTACTGTCCTGGGACTCTGGTCACCCTAGAGACCAAGTACGTTTTGGATTTTTGAGGGGTGGTTTGTGTACAGCTGCAGTGCTTTGTTTCAACAGTGGTGGCAGTAACCAGTGAAGAGCAGTATGAAAAAGTTTTTTCATGAAATATGTTTTTAAACAAGAAAGTACAAAACTTAATCCATCAAATGATCAAAATTTGAAACTTAATTATTAAAATTATGATTGTACTTTTAAATATATTTTTACAGTGGCAGTCCCTAACCTCTTATATTATAACCTCTAATATGAGTTATGCTCTAGCCCCTTCTCCACTGAAAGCGAAGGGTTTTAAAGCGCCAGGATGTCTTCCCTCCATTAAAGACATTTCATCCCAACGCTGAGTGTCCCGAGCCCGTAACATCATAAATGACCCCTCACACCCCCACCATGGACTGTTATCCCTGCTGCCCTCTAGGAAGAGGCTTCACAGCATTCAATGCAGGACCAGCAGATTCCATAACAGTTTCTTCCCCACTGCCATTAGCTGAATGTTTTGTAAAATTGGTTATTTTATTGTATTTTATTATATTTATCATATTTTATTATTTGAAGAGTTATTATTTATTATATTTATTATTAAAAACCATGAAATGTTAGAAATGAAAATATACAGTCCTATGTTTATATTACTCTTTTTATGTATTTTTTTGTGTGTTTTTTAAGGCTGCACTTTTAAAAAATTTAATTGCCTGGAGAGCTGTTCTTAACGAAATTTCTTTTTGTTTACATTTGTGTACACAAAATGAAAAAATAAATCTGTCTAAGTCTAATAGTCCTGTCTAGCTAGTAGGCCAGTAAGGCTAAGCAGATGGTAGTAACAGTGGGAATCCTGAAAGGGAGCTGTAAAGCCCAGCCAGCAGCGCAATGATGTCCTGATATCTGTATTTGTCTGCAGTGACTGAAAGAGAATATAAACCACTCATGAGGTATGTGTTAAAACTGCGAGAGTCACAATTTAAAATGTAATGTTTCACAAGAAAGTTTTGACTGTTGGTTAATGTAGGTATGAATTTGATTGCTTTGCCACAGTTTAAAGAAAACTATTCAGAGTAATGAGCTACAGGGGCTCTGTTACTTTTCTTTTTAGAAACAAGAATTACACGTTCTCTTTAGAATGACTTTTCATGTATAACTACTGTAGAGTATAACCCTCTACATGTCATGATTGGGTTTCAGAGAGTAAAGCCCAAGATGCAGAACACACACGGAGAACGCTGGTAAAAGTCCAAAGAGTTTATTTAAAGACACAAGCACATAGAAATAAACAGGGACAGTTCAGTCCGGGGGCTGGTTCACTTGGGTCTGTGCAGGGAACGGGGGATGGCTGGTTAACTGAGATCATGAGGGGCTAGGCCTCTAGCTGTATGCTTAGCAAGGCTAGCTAGGATCTGAGCTTCCAGCTCAACGCAGAGAACAACAGGGGATAATCCACATGGGAACCTCTAGGGAAATTCCTCAAAGAAGTCATCAGGTTTCATCCACGTGGGGATCTTCGGGTTGGCTCACCAGGGCAGATTAGCAGGTTAGGCTTTCCAAGAGCTTCTGGCTTGAGACTGGTTTCCTGAGACGCAGCTCTCCCAGAGCTGCAGACCAGAGACAGGGTTCCAGTGAGGGTGCTCTCCCTGAGCTTCACAAGGAGACAGGTGGTTAAGCTCATCCAGAGCTTCACAAGGAGACAGGAGGTTAAGCTCATCCAGAGCTTCACGAGGAGACAGGATTCCTGTGTGGCACAGATAAAGGAGAGATTAGAATCTGACCTCAACCTAGGAACAACCAAGACTCAGTCTATAGCAGAAGGTTCAGGAAGCTAACCAACTAAGATCAACACTGCGGCGTGGAATCAAGGTTTGAAGGCAGCTTAAATACTGTGGTCCTCCTGATGAGTAGATCAGCCACAGGTGTGTGGGAGGCTCAGCTCAGGAGGACCCACGGCGCACTCTGCTGGAGGCAGAGGGTAATCTCCAGAACCTTAACAGTGACTCCAGCCCTAAAGAAAAGACAAAGAGAGCAGAAGAGGATCCTCGGCGCCCTCTGGTGGGCAAGCCTGAGGATCTCAACACTACATGTATAAAAACACAATTTTTAATTTAAAGTCTTTCACGATTCTATGCTAACAGGACGGCAAGAGAGATCACAAGTTGGTCGCCGTTTCTTGGCTTGTGGGGATTTTTCCATCATCAAATCTAAAGCTTGTACTTTATATAAATATACGCTTATGTGGACATGTGGACTCATGAAACATTTTGACTTAAAACATTTCCTGTTTGTGATGTAGATATCTAAGATTTGGCTGGTCACTCTCATAAAAAAAACTGTCTTAATTAGTTTTGAGTTTTTATTTTTAATGAATCATAAAATTAAAAAGCAAATCTGGCAAGATTTATGTTGATAAAAGAATTAAAGTTCAAATAAATATTTTAAGGTTAGCATTTACTTACAGCTTGTCAGCTGGAAGTAAAGGGAGAACCACTTGATGTTCCAATTACCGCCTTCTATACTGATGGTGTAGTAAAGTTGTCACGGGGCCTTGTGAGTCATGGGAAAGACAGCTGATGAATTAGCCAGTTACCTAGCTATTAGAAATCCTGGCACTTTAAAACCCTCCGCTTTCAGTGGAGAAGGGGCTAGAGCACAACTCAAGAACAAAGGAGTGAAGAGGATAGAACGGCCTCCACTATTCTCTGACCTCTTTAAACTCATGTGGGATCACCTTAGGCATGTCTGCTGGAGTGACAACCATAAGTATTGAAGCTGGCTATCTAAACCTTAAGCAAAAGAATGGGATGCTTCGGAAGGCAGTGGTCAACACGTCTTAACTCAAATAATCCCCTTAAACACCAGACATTATTAAGACATTGGTTTTTAGGCTAGATCTTGTTGGTTCATCATAATCTTGATTTATTCCAGAAATTGTTGTTAAAAATTAGGCTGCGTTCAGTCAGTCGGATTTTGTACCACTATAGTCCAATAATACATATTATTAAAGATGAAAAGACGTAATTTTTAGATTGTTGAAAAGACAATGAAAACTGTGTTTGCTTTTCACTTTTCACTCAAATATAGACGTCCTTTGGACGTAAATGATGAAATCTTTTCAATGTCTTTGCAACCAAAGTTTTCTCAGTCGGTATTTTCCCTTACTTTATTGTTCCATTTATTTTGTGGAAGCCACCAGTGCAACAAGAATCTCACTATGGATGCTAACACCACCATTACTGTAAGGTCTTGCAGGAATCTTATCTTTTATTTTAAGAGGTAATAGATGCTCTGAGAGAAACTAACCTTTACATAGAATATTCCAGTAGAACAAGGGTATACCGGTCAATTTTACTCCGGATCACTCTCCAACAAGCCTCTAACAAAATGCAGACTAAGATCATGATCTTAAAAGATTCTATATGAGAGGAGTCAAATTGCATGTGTCA